CTCACTTGGTAGTCCAGGCTGACCTCGAACTCACAGAGATCCGCCTGGCTCTGCCTCCCGAGTGCTGGGATTAAAGGCGTGCGCCACCACCGCCCGGCACGCCTTGCCTTTCTTGCAACCTTACATCCAGCCCTTGCCAGCTGGATTCTGTTCCCGTGCGCAGCTTTCCAGAACCTCTCTCTCTATAGGTCCCTATTATAAAACAGTAGGAGCCGAGGATATAGCTCAGTTGGTAGAGTGCTTGCTTAATAAGCTTAATAAGCTCTGGGTTCAGTTCCCTAGTACTGCAGAAACCAGGTGTGACAGAGCACACTTGCAATTTCAACAGCACTGGGGAGGTAGAGGCAGTAGGATCAAAGCGTCGTTTAAGTTTAAGGCCACTTTGGTCATCCGAGGACAACCTGGTACACATAAGACCCCGTTTTAAAATAAAATAAGTAAATAAATAAATAAAGTGGATAGTAGAACAACGTGGAACACATCGGTCCCTCACTTGCACTCCCCCAAGCATGCACCTCGGGACTCTGCAAGGTTCCTTGAACTGGGCTCTTCCGGACCAAGTATTTAGGACAAGAAACACAGCTCCTTCCCGGCCCTGGAGCCTACACAGTTCTCAAGATGCTTTCCCGCCCCCTGGAGGCCTGAACTTGACACACAGGAACAAAGATTAGCCACACCATCAGGGACTCGTCTTTATTGCCGTTTTCCTAGAGACTGACACTGGCGAGCAGAGGGGGGAAAGATAGGACCAGGACAGGGACTGAAGACAGGGTCAGACTCCGGACCCGCCCCGGGGCGCTAAAGCGGTGGCGGTTGCGGTCAGACAGCGGCGACCAGGGCAGGGACGTGGCTCTAGCTCTGCGCCTGCGCGGCGGCCCATGGTCAGGATGCCGGCAGCGTGGTTGCCGTTGGCCTGCAGAAGGCGCTGCAGCCGACCCTGGAGGCCCGGGGGTCCGGGACGCCGCTTTCCCAGAGTCAGGATGCCCGCGGCGTGGTTGCCAGCGCCGTGCAACAGTTCGTAGAGGCGGCAAGAGCAGGTCTTCTGGCGACAGCAGTCGGGCAGTGGCTGTGCGTCCACCCCAAGCGACAGGAGCGCTGGCGGCAGCAATAGCAGCAACAGCAGCGTCACGGCGGCCCAGGGAACCTAAAAGGGACACGAGACAAGGCGCGCGAATGGGTTTCACTCCGTACCCAGTCGGCTCCGAACCTCTCCATGCCTGAGGTCGTGCTTGGCGGTCCCTGAGTTTCCTGCATCTGGCTCTTTTGTCAGCTCATCCTTCAATCCACAGCCGAGCCATCTCCTCTAGCCCTCATAGACTTCGGCTGGCAGAATAAGTTGAAATACTTAACATATTTAAAGGCTTACTCCTCCACCTGCAGACAGGTGTGTCTGAGTCTGTGGGAACCAAACATGAAAGCTTAGCGGAAACAAAGGGTTGATTCAGTGTAGTCCTTCCCTCTCCACACACAGCAGGCCTGTTCCTTTGCTGGGGAAAACCGAACATTTGTGGCTTTGGACCAGTTTCTCACCCTCTTGGAACAGCCCTTCCTAACCTACAAACTAGGCATTAAATCATTCCTACTACCCAGGCTGTTGAGTTGGAAGACAATCACAAAAGCATCTGAAATACACGGGCTCAATAAACACGAGCCTCTAAGAGAGTGGCGTACCTAGTGTTAACCAAGCAGGCTCGCTGCTGCCGGCATCCCTCCCAAGTCAAGGCTGTACTAGTCCAGATCAGCACCCAGACTCCTGCCTCAGTGCTCCCTGAGAAGGATCATCTTGGGCCCAGCCCGTGGGCAAGCACTCTAGTGGCCTCAGTGGTTTGATGAGGCTCGCCCCTATTCCTAGCTCTTTACCTTTGTAGCAGGAAGATTCATGGTGTCTGGAGCTCAGAGCAGGGCAATCTGGAAAGAGGGTGTCTTCAGTGCAGTGGTCCAAATACCCAAGATGTCTGAGGCGGTCTTCGACTGTGGCCTGCTTCCCGGGGCCAGGGGTTTATAGTGCTCTGAGGTGGGTGGGGGGCAGAGACATGAGCACTTGCGTCCACTTTAAACCAGACAAAGGGATGTCTAAGATTAGCATCTTGCATGGGAGCTGTCTCCAGGTTGGACCCAAAGAATGGCCGCCCTGTCCTTAGTCTCCCGCTTGTCTGTCTGCCTGTTCCTTGGAGATGGGGCGGTCTCCGGGTACTAATGAGGTACCTTGCACCCAGGAATCTGAGTCCACAAAAGAGGCCCCGGCTGGGGCACTGGCCAGAGACAATGGGGGAGGGGGCGAGTTGCTAATTAGGGGCAGAAGTGGCCGCCTGAGAACCGCTGTTCATGGTATGTGGAGGGTGGGGGGTAGGGAGGGTACCTGGGTAGCATTCACCCCCTGCCACCCCCCACCCCTCTCCTTGTCACTGACTCTGGGGTCCATCGGGTTCCAGGGCCTTTTTTCTCCATGGAAACAGCTCTTGAGCTGCCCTCCCCACCCCACAGCTCTCCATCTCTCCTGTTCCCCTCACCAAACTCATCCTTGTTAAGGAGCTCTTGATGTAGATCAGTTCTACACGGGCACGGTGACAGCAGTGTGCCTTTTTTTTCTTTTTCTTTACTTTATTTTTTTTAAAGCATATTCCTTTTTTGTTTGTTTGTTTGTTTGTTTGTTTTTTGAGGCAGAGTTTCTCTGTGTAGCTTTGCACCTTTCCTGGAACTCACTCTGTAGCCCAGGCTGGCCTCGAATTCACAGAGATCCGCCTGGCTCTGCCTCCCGAGTGCTGGGATTAAAGGTGTGCACCACCACCACCCGACTACTTTTTTTTTTTTCTTTTGGCTTTTCGAGACAGAGTTTCTCTGTGTAGCCCTGACTATCCTGGAACTTGCTCTGTAGACCAGGCTGGCCTCGAACTCAGAGATCCACCTACCTCTGTCTCCTGAGTGCTGGGATTAAAGGCGTCCGCCACCATTGCCCGACTGTGACCCCATTTTCTTAGCCTGTGTGTATGGATATGCACTGCATGTGTGCCTGGTGCCTGTGAATACAAAAAGAGGGTTTCTGTCTCCTGGAACTGGAGTTATAGATGGTTGTGAGCCACTGTGTGGGCACTGGGAACCGAGCCCAGGTCCTCTGCAAAAGTAGTAAGTGCTCTTACAGGGCCATCTCTCTAGCAGCCATGTCCCCACTTTCAAGGAGCACACAAGTCTGGGGGTGGGGGTGTGACATCTGGGCCCAAGGATAGCTCAGTGCAAAGAAGGGTGATTAGCCAGCGCACGCCTTTGATCCCAACACTTGAGAGGCAGAGCCAGGCAGATCTCTGTGAGTTTGAGGCCAGCCTGGGCTACAGAGTGAGTTCCAGGACAGCCAGGACTGTTACACAGAGAAACCCTGTCCTGAAAAATCCAAAACAAACAAACAAACAAAAATCACAAAAACCAGTGATTAGACTGTCACTTCCTTCTGGGTGGGACAGGGGTGGGGTGGGGTGGTGGTGGTCCCTCAAAGATTTTGCTTGAAAAGTAGCAAAGTAGCTTCTACTAGGTAGGTAAGGGGACAGAGCATGCCTGAGAAGGGACAAGGTGAGCAAAGGCTTGGATGGGATAGTGCTTGGCTCACACGGCATGGGGTGTGAGCCTCACAGTTTCTATGGAACTAAAAGGAGAGGCAAGTTGGGTAAAGTTTTCCAGGGCCTTAGGTGCCAGGCTGGGCAGTCTTTGTTGGGGAATTTTAAATGGCTGATGGCAACTGGCGACAGAAGAAGGAGGAGCCCACAGGCAGGGACCTAGAAGGACAGAGAAACGATTCAGAGGCAGAACTGAAAGCTGGATGCTGATCTGGACCAGCACTGACTTCGGAGGGCCTGCAGGTCTTGGCCTCCTGACCTTCGGGCTTAGTTTCCTCACTGCTAAGGACACTTTCTGCAGGGAGTGCTGAGGCTCCTTCCTGCTGTGACACTTGGTGACTTGAGGTATAACTGCCTCCTTTCTCACTGTGGAAGTGATTTGTACAGGCTAGGCCGGGAAGGAGCCTGGTGCTGAGGCAGGGGGGTGAAGCTGGCAACAAACAGCCCCTTCACCTCAAGCTGTGCTGAAGATGGGAGGAGAGAGGGCATCTGTCTGCTTGGTCCTGTTAGGCCATGATGGGAGCTCTGTGTGATCTCACTCTTGGGACTAACCTAAGCCAGTGTGCAGAGGAGGTGAAAACCCTGGAGCTCAGGGCTGAGAGGAGCTGGGCTCCACAGGCTGTGGCTGAACCGGGCTGCATGGGACTCCACATGGCATCCCCAAAGCAGCATCCAGAGTCTGGGTTGCAGGGCTTTTACCCACCAACCCCACAGTTCCCCAGAGTTTTCTTGAGTGGAAGCAGCAGGAAATATTAGATAGAAGGAATCAGATTGTGGAGATAAACAGAAAATACAGGATAACCTGGAGAGGGCCTGGAACCTATTCCAAGGAGCCCCGACTATCTCTGCCCCAGGGTTTTTATAGAGACGCCAAGGGGGTGAAGCAAAAGACCTCCCCCCCAGCCCAGCCAAGTGCAGACCATCTCAGACACCTGCACTCAGGCCCGTGGCCCTAATCATCCTCTTTATGCGGACCTGCTGGGTAAAGCCACAAGGAACTGGAAAATGGGCTCCCACACTGGGTATGAGAATTTTATATGAGGGTCCGGAGAGATGACTCAGCAGCCAAGAATCATTGATGTTTTTATAGAGGACCTGGTTTTGGTTCCCAGCACCTACATAGCAGCTCTCAACTGTCTGTAACTCCGGTTTCAAAGAATTCACAATCTTCTTCTGGCCTCTGGAGGCATTTGCATACACACGGTCCACATACACACATGCAGGCGCACACAGATAACATAAAATAAATACATAAATATTTTAAAAAGAATTTTATTTGGGAGTTGATCCAGGGAGCCAAATGATAAAACGGGCAAGGGAGGGAAGGATGGAGGGAAGGAAGGAGAGCTGGTAGGAAGAATATTAAACACTGGATTACTCCTGTGGGCTAGAGTGCTGTGGATATCGCTCTATATAAATAAAACACTGATTGGCCAGTGACCAGGCAGGAAGTATAGGTGGGACAAGGAGAGAGGAGAATTGAGGGAACAGGAAAAAGGAGGGGGAGACACTGCCAGCCACCGCCAGGACAAGCAGCATGTAAAGATGCCTGTAAGCCATGAGCCACATGGCAAGGTATAGATTTATAGAAATGGGTTAATTTAAGATATAAGAACAGTTAGCAAAAAGCCTTCCATGGCCATACAGTTTATAAGCAATATAAGCATCTGAATGATTATTTTATACATGGGTTATGGGACTGCAGGGCTTGGTGGGATCTGGAAAGAAGCTCTCCAGCAACAAATGGCGCCCACGTTGGGCACCAGCTATTGGTGAAATTATTAAGGCCACTCCACGTAGTTAAAAGGAGATTTATTTAATGGCATAACTTACAAATTAAGGGATAGGTAGGTCGTGGGGTCTGGGGAAGGTGTATCGCAATCCAGCGCTGTTCTCTGGAGCTCTGCTAGGTCCACCTCCACCGTTCAGGGTCCCGAAACAGAGAGAGTGCTGGCTCATCCAGATCTCGGATCTCCAGGTGCCTCCCTTGGCCCCGCCTTGTAGGCGTGACAGTTGCCGAAGTCTCAATGGGGGTTGGAACTTCCAGATCAAAGCTGGAATGGCTACCCACTACACTACAGTCTCACCCTTTCAGGAGATTGTGCAAGATATACCTCAGACCATGAGACAATGATCTTTGTTCATTTGCTCCTGCTCCTGAGGGAGCCACTCTGGGAGCATCACTTTCAGCCCATGCTGTACCCTGGTCCAGCACACGAGAGGGGCTGAGATACAGGGAGCCACCAGGGTGCATCAGAACTCCTCAGCAGTGTCAAGTAGGGTAGGCTGAAGGGTCAGTCATAGGGCACACTGCTGGGTTCTGCTGTACGCCAAAGCCTCCACCTTAATACCAGCCAATGAGTCCAAGGCCTCCCTAAGGCCAATGGCTCTGATGGGCCAATATTATGTGATGTCCAGTCCAGGCCTCAACATCTGGAGATACCCCCAAGGAAGGAGCGAGGAGGCAAAGGGAAGCCTGGCGATGGTTGCCTTGGTTAGGATATCACCCTCTTCTGCAGGAGCTGGGCCAGGTGTCTGAGCCTGAGGACCCGAGGCATTTCAGGAGGGAAGGAGGAGGGGCAGGTTGCTAGTGCTTCCCGGAGTGCTCTGAAGCTCCCTGGCCCCACCAGATGAACTTTGGCAGGACCCACACTGCCCCGGAACCGCAAGGACTTGTAGTGAGGGGAGGCTTCCTGAAGGCAGTGGTCAAGCTAGGAGCAGAAGGATGGGGTGAGACTACCCTGCGGTGGGTAGCATGTGTACAAGATGTGCATGCCCATGCCCAAGGCTACCTGCACTTCGGACTTTGGTGTGCAAGTGCATGTTGTAGGACCCATGCCCCCTTCCCAGATTCCCTGAAGAGGGGTCCCCCTCCTTGGTACCCCTCCCCCTGAACTCCCAGGACAACCGGGGAGAGCTTGTAGAGCAAAAGAGACTTAGAATCAGGCTTTGGTCTCATCTTTTACCTTGTCTCGATTTTCCTCCGACAGATTCCTCAATCCCCTCAGCTCCACGAACACCTCGTAGTGTGGGGCAGAACCGTCACAGGAGTCTGAGGATAAAGCCACCCGTACACTTCCTGAGGACAAGGTGGCTGCCAGAGCCATCGGCCTCTGCCTTTTTTTGTTTTTGTTTTTGTTTTTGTTTTTTTGTTTTTTCGAGACAGGGTTTCTTTGTGTAGCTTTGCGCCTTTCCTGGAACTCACTCGGTAGACCAGGCTGGCCTCGAACTCACAGAGATCCGCCTGCCTCTGCCTCCTGAGTGCTGGGATTAAAGGCGTGCGCCACCACCGCCACCACCGCCCGGCCGGCCTCTGCCTTTACGTCTTCCCTAGTCTAAGGTTCAGGGAGTGGAGAAATGATTCTTGGTGGCAGGTAGCAAATAGAGGGAAACCTAGAACCCACTCC